AAATGTGTAGTAAAACTGTGAAGTAACACTTTTTTTGGTGTGAACCGCTCAATGACCGACATCTCCCGTCTCGCACCGCACACCAAGACGGCCGTCACGTTGGCACATTTCACTTCTTTCTCAGAATGAGGCGAAAAGTATTAAAAGAGGTGAAAATCACTACAAGTCTGGGCATGTTGAGTGCTGTACATACGCAAAAGGGGAGTTAGTCGCTTCGTAAGAGCCAGCATGCGGGACCGGGATTCGTAGTCTTTCTAGTTGCGTATTTTTCAGTCTTATATTTCAACAGTTTTACGACAAACTGTGACTTTTTTGACATGGAAATTATTATTCAAGATTGACAAACATCATATGTGTAATTCGTGGCACAATTCAAACGGGATCGAAAGATAATCTTTCTCTCTCCATTGACTTCAATACAAACTTTTTCAGGGGAGGGACTTCGCCTCTGTGATTTACACCCGGGTGTCCGTAGCTAACAATGCTACTTACACCCGGGCTACACATTAGATTCTGTTTTGGATGTATAGATATTTATGGAAATATTTATTTGATAACTTCATTACCTTGTGCTGCTGCGTCAAATTGTAATTCCCCTCTGGTGGATGTATAAAGGCACTTCTTATCTTAAGCACTTGTTGAACTTTCCTGTCGGCTCCCAGACCGTAGTCGAGGAAACAGGGGGGGATGACTCTCTGTCGTCTCCCAGCCCCAGGCAGAAGCAACACGCTTCGGGTTCAATAACCCACTTTATCGGAATCACTGGAGAGAGGCGAGCTCTTCTTGGGATATATATATTTAGCTCTTCTGTATCACAAGATACATCACAGACCTATCCTTTTTCTGTTGCCTCGTTTTACTTCTAGAAAACATATATCCCGCTCGCTCGCGGCTCCCTCTCCCATACCCACACACACATGCACGCCCGCACCCCTCTCTTAAAGGGACAGCGATCTCACTCTGCATGACCCCAATGTCATAACACACTGTAGCTATTTACACCCGGGTGTTGTACTGTATGCATCTGTTCTTGCTCTTTCTACGATTGCTTGGTAAGGTTACCTGAACATCAGGGACAAAAAACACCTGTGCTATATTGTGAACATGGCTGTAACGTAATAAATGTCCCACAGACCCCCCTGATGAAAGGGGGTTAATTCATCTGCCACAACAGTCGGAAAGAAGTTATGAGACGTGATGAGCTTTAGTATGTTTATTTACAAAATACCACAACAGTAGGCTACACAGTTTCTTAGAGAGACAAATTATGCTCATTTTCAGGATCATAAGTATGTAGTGTCTCTACTGTGACATGTCTCCATGCTTTAATGTTAAAAAAGCTCTTTATTTTTCTCATACTGCCTGTGCTGCAGCACCTCTTTTCACCCTCTGTCTGAAACCAGAGCCCAGTCTGCTCTGATTGGTTAGCAGGTTGGCTCTGATATGATTGGTCAAAGCTCTGGAACAGTCTGCCCCTACATGTGAGGTCGGCCCAGGCCCAAGGGGTTTTTAAATCTTTACTGAAGACACACTTCTTCTCTCTGGCCCTCTAGTCAGAGCTGAGTATGACACCTGACTATTCCCTGTCTTTTTTATATTTCTGTTGTAAATTCTTGTCTTTTCTTTCTGTTGTTGCAGTTTCTGTTATTGTAGTGTGCTTTTATTACATGTACAGCGCTTTGGCTCGACCAAAAATCGTTTTTAAATGTGCTCTATAAATAAAACTTTATTTTATTTGATTGGTCAACTGCTTAGAGAACTCCTGCCCCTTAGCCTATCGCAGAATGTGTTTGAGCGCTAGCCAATAGCAGCATGGATGTTACGTCACTATCGCTTTCTACAAAACATGTATAGAGGGCAGAGCATAATAGTTACTTAAAGAAAGTTATAAACAGAACAATAACAGTTTATATCAAATTAAGAAAGCTCAAAAGTACAAAAAGTACAAATCTAGCAGGAGCAACAGTCATGCATGCACAGTTAGCATATGAGCCCTAGAAAGAAATGAGCACATACATGGACATCAGGTGTACAGCTCGGGGCCCATAGAGATAAAGATGTGGTTCTATATACATAGGGGCTCCACTATGTGCTGAGCACGTAGAACATCCAGAGTTAATTATCAAACACACACACAGAGCATGACAGCTGTAGGACAGTCTCCACACACAGTCAGCTGTTAGGAATAAAGACTAGTTTAAATGCAGGTTTTGTTGAAGCAATCCCTCTCTCACTAGACACAAGCATTGTTCATTTTCCACAAATGTTTTGACCTCAAACTGGTGATCAAATTGTTTTTTCTCAGGAGGACGAGATGTCATGTCAAAACACTCACCAGGACTCTTGACTGCGTGCTGCAGCAAATTCTGGTTTGTTATTCTGGCTGTGCTCAGCAGACCAGTTATCTGAGGATCTTGTTTGTTTCTTTTCTGCAGCATGGGACATATTTCTTAAAATTGTACAGTGTCGTATTCAAATGCATGAGGATCAAGTGGTACCACATGACGTTGTAATAAATAATAACTGAAATCCTTCAAATAGTAAAGAGAGAGGAGAAACACACCATCTTGCTCAACAAATGTGACTACAGTAAGCATATTTTCACATGATATTATCTTATATAAAAGCCATCTTTCATAACACAGTAAAATGGGATTGTGAATCTTAAGGTTGCCCGTCCAAATTGCAACAATTAGGGAAACAGGTTGCCCTTTCCTCGGCTGCTGCCCTTCTGCATGACATTTACATTACAGAGTGCCATGTAGGTGTCAGCAGCCATATGCAGCCTCATTATATAGCATGCACATTTTTTAAAAAGGTGAACATGTTGAGATGAAGATTTCATATCGACCAGCAGTAGATCTCCAGCAGCTCATTAAAATTATGCATCAGTAAAAATCAGTATCTTTTAAGAATCTGGGAGTGAAGGTTATAGCATTTATTATTAGTTTATTTTCAGCATACTGCAGACTAGACAAACTTTACTTCATATGGTGTTGCTGCTGAGGGATAAAATAACCAGGTTCTGCCATCTGCAGGACAAACAGGAAGTCACAACCAGACATTAAAGGGACATTTTACCCCATAAGGCTTGGCATTCGTTCAAGACATCACATTGTATGACTAAACAATTTAACGGGAGGCATCTGGCGCAGTGGATTAGTGCGTAGGTGTTCGGATCAGGGGGACACAGGTTCAAACCCCACTGCAGTCAGCATGTCGTTGTGTCCCTGGGCAAGACACTTCACCCCAAATTGCTCCTGTGGGGATTGTCCACAGTATTGAGTATGTAAGTCGCTTTGGATAAAAGCGTCTAACAGGTGACATGTAACGCAAAAAGGCATCTCACAAAAAATTAAGAAATGTAAAAAACGGAAAGAAAGCAGTTACACAGTGGGTGCCAGCCCAATAAATACAATTCACTCTCTGAGTATAAGTACCTATGTGTACATATGTACGCTATGTATGTATGTATCAAATTATCTAAGTGTATTATGTATGTATACATACATAATACACTTAGATAATTTGATGCAAAGCACTTTTCTAGCAATATGCAAAAATATAGAAAGTATCTAAAAAATGGCTTCAAAATGAGGGACTTTTACTTGATAATGGGGTATTTTTTTGTATTGTATTTCTACTTTTTAAGTTAAGGATCGAAGTAATTCTTTAGGGTGTTCGGTGCACTGTCACTTTAAGACTTTCTCTCTCGCACTTTCGGACCTTATCGCTTTCCGTAGTTTCCGGAAGTGTGCTGCTGCAGTTTGTTGTTATTTTCCTGCGCCGCTGCTCCTCCTCAACATATTGTTTACCTCGGACTAAAATAACCTCTCAAAATGTCTGGAGGAACCACTCTGGAGAACGCTAACCCGGTGATCTTCCAGCGGTCCGGAGAGAGGCTTCTGGCGGACACAGACGCGGATGAAGACGTCCATGATCCCATCGACGATAGAGAGATCTTCGATATCCTGTTTAAATTCTGCTCTGGTTCAGACTGGTTTCACACCTGACAGATTGCACATTGCTATAAATTGCATTATCAAATCAGACTTTATCGATAAAGAGACACTTATTTGTGTATAATGTTATATTTGCCGTTGCATCATTTCTAAGATGATCGCTACAGGGAAAAGTGCAATATTGTAAGTAGCCTAACAAAGTGTGTCAAAGTGGTGGAATTACTATATTTCATTTAAGTATTATTAAGATGCAAACACATTTATTTAAATATAAATTAAAATAATAGATCAATTAAGTACATAAAGTAGTCATCATGCAGTATGACCCATTTCGGAATTGTTCCTATTATATTATTTGGTTATTATTATAACAAGTCTGTACATAACTGTAATTCTGCTGCTAGCTTATGTTAAATGATATATTTAAATTGTATATCTTTGGTTATATATACAGCTAGTAGGAAGCTTGTGAATTTCCCCCGGGGAATCATTCAACTCTGACTAATATACAGTATTATATCATTATTTATTTGTTGATTATATTATTATTATTGATTTGAATCTTTAAAGTAAAACATTGCAAATGACTGTAGCAGAGTAAGAATGTAATAGAATAGAAGTATAATGGAGCAGAAAAAGGAACCGAAATAGATGTTAAAGTCCCTCAAAATATCTTGTGTAATGTACTTGCCCCACTGCATATCATGTCTAGTATAATGTACTACATCGTAAGCCATATGTTTGTATACATTTTTTGAACATAAGTTTTGTTTAACAATATTAACCTGATCATTTGACCACCAGAAGTAATCAACAATTTGAAAATTCCATCATTACCCTAATCTAGTTTTTTCAGACATTTCATTTATGCTTTAATAATACATAGACACAGTGATATTAACAGTCTTCCATAATACAGTGAAATAATAACATAATGACTATATTACAGTCCAACACCCCAACGCAGAGTGTGTGTTTTCATCGTGTTGTTTTGAATTCCTTAACTAAAGCTACATCTGATCAGATCCATCAACGACCCGGAGCATCCTCTGTCTCTGGAGGAACTCAACGTGTTGGAGCAAGTCCGAGTCAAGGTAGGCGTCTTTAGATGGGTTTTCTGGTGGGTTTTTAATGGATAACTAGAGGCTGAATGGCCGAAAAGCAAGATAATCTAATTTAGTGAAGACAAAAGACACATTTCAGATACGTCATTCTTCACTGCGAAAAGGGTTAACTACTACTACTACTACTACTACTACTGCTACTACTACTACTACTACTACTACTACTACTACTACTACTACTACTACTACTACTACTACTACTACTACTACTACTACTACTACTACTACTACTACTACTACTACTACTACTACTACTACCTACTTCCTTAACAATTAAAAGGACATGTAATATGTTTAGTGTGTTTTTTCTGAAGTCCTTTTCTACCTGCTTGTTTTTGTCTCAGGTTAATGATGCAGAGAGCAGTGTGGACGTCCAGTTCACTCCCACAATCCCCCACTGCAGCATGGCGACGCTCATCGGTCTGTCAATCAAAGTGAAGCTGCTCCGCTCCCTGCCCGAAAGGTTCAAAGTACGTGTGTGTGTGTGTGTGTGTGTGTGTGTGTGTGTGTGTGTGTGTGTGTGTGTGTGTGTGTGTGTGTGTGTGTGTGTGTGTGTGTGTGTGTGTGTGTGTGTG